TAGCTCTCTATTTGGCCTGATTAATTTAGTGTGGTATACATCAAGCTGTGGTTTCCTTTCTGTTGTTGCATACTAGACTTATCCTTTAGCCTCCACCGCTGAGCTGAAGACACGCTACTTTGCTACTCACACTTCTGTCCTCAAGAAGATACTGTTCAGGATCAGCCCAATGCTAACACTGTATCTCAAAGAGTGCACTTACCGACTCGATCATTAGATCGAGCAGTTGTCACACACCGACAGCGCGAAAATGAACATTACCATCCCTCATGGAATACTAAAAATAAACACACCAAATCAAATGTACCAATTAGTCCTAGCCAGTATATTGCTAATTACTATCCAACAAGGTATCAAGCGTGCATGGGCACGAACCCCCTCTGAGTGTCATTCGGGAGATTTTCGGATATGTCGGGACGGGACGGGCCGTCAGTGACAAGGGTTGGGTAGCTGCATGCACTTCCCCCTTTTCTGATATGTAGAACTCTAGTCTCCGCATGATTATTGCCGATGCATTGTTTATATGCGACTAACCTACTCATACGGTATCTGAGTATTTATTTAAGCCCGGAAACCGGCGTATAAACCCCTAGGAACTCTCATATGGCATCTTGACTGTGACGTTGAACGCGAAAGACCTCACATTATCAACCTCCCATATTTATAAGTGTTATATAAAGCATCAGTCAATGTGAGAATCATATATTTATTATCATATTTGATACTACCCCCAGTGGGTATTGCTTAAGAAATGGGATAGTTGAGAACGTTAGCTTGCTGAATTCCTGTGAATACGTAGGAAGAGAGCTTTGTGTAGTGAAGTTAGGACCAAGGAAAGAAAATTACAGAGTAGATTGACAGCTTCTGGAGTAGACCCACCAATGGAAAAGCTAATATTTCCTTGTGAGTAACTTATCTTGTCGTAATTTGGGATAGTCTAATGAGTTGTATTGTCTCCGTCAGCGCCGAAGATATCTGCGGTAGTATGCCCGGTAGTAGTGAAGCTCTAACGACGTATAACGCCTCTCTCCTTCAACACACTGCCCGTTGAGACATAAATCGATGGTAGGGCCTTGTCTGGAATCCTGGATAGGTGGTATTGAACCAAACTCGGCGTCGCACTCATCAAACGTGAACCCTCTGTTAAGAACACCAAGGATATTATCCTATGGTCCAGATGAAATAAATTGAAGACGATCGTTGAAAGGACTAAAAACAAAGAGAGAAGATAAGATTCAATACTTATGGTATTCGCAATGGTGTATTGCGGAATGTCGGCCCTCGCCTCGTTCACCATTTCACTAAAGGCAGCACAAATGAGCTAAAGATCACCCCCAACCGGTTCAATGGCGCACAAAATGTGCACCATGAGGGAGAAGGCGCAACCACACGGATTTGCAAGGCTTGGGCCCGTTCTAGTATCCATGATATGTCAATGGCCCAAAGATCGTTATGATAATCAATCTTACTGACTTGAGAGTGACCGCGGGATACTATAGAAATACAAGACCATAACTATTACTAATGGATAATAAGTCGTAGTTCCTGTTGTTAAAGATGGTATAGGACTGTATTCTATTGGACCCAGTAACATCACCGAGATCATTACCATAATAAAGGTCACCTACATGTCCCTGGATATAACTCAATGTAACATCTACTAGTCAAGAAGCTCTCTTATTTATTTTCCGCATGTCATGGGTTGTCCTAAGATAATGAGTACCCGAGAATCTTGCCGTCTTCCGCTATGGGTTGACTAAGCAAAAAGAGGAGGCAATAACCCATCCGTAGTATACTCGGTACAAGACCTTCAACCACCTCGCTATCCAAGGTTCAAATATCAAGGAATACTTCCTGAGAGAAAGGACAAGAGCAAAAAATGTCTGGATACTTTCTTGAAGAAGACAGAATCAATATGGAAATTGCATAGCGGAAAGGTTCATTTCCTGGCCTTATGTAACATATATTTGCCAATGGAACAAAAATAGCACCAGTCAGCACCATATTTGCTTCCTTCAGACGACCTTTACGGCAGCCGTGTGTATCTGTCTATAGTATTCGTCAGCGTTCTTACGTATTATCATAGCGTCAACAGTGTACTTACAGTGTGCAGAAAGCTCATTTGACTCCATTATAAGGGCGAAGTTGGTCCAACAGCAGCGTTAGCACTCCGGGCTGTATCTAGCGGCGTTCGTGGACATTGTAAAGGATAATCCATAGCAAGTACCACATACAGTTGCAATGTGACAAGCTGCAAACCCGGATATTGCTGCAGACGGCATGGAACAATTTGTTAATCATGCACTTTAATCAATTGGTATCAGCAGGCTTAGACCTGATTGAAGATCTCAGCTTCTATCACTGCCCCAGATGCTTTTAGCATATATCCTTTCAGCCAAGCAACCCAGACTATCCAACGTAATAATGAACCTAACGTATACCTTGGGAATGGGTTCAATGCCCAGTTAGCACTCGAGTATCGGACTGGTATGTCATTTTATTCTACCGTAACCGTATGTATTGTGTATATAATAACAGATCAGACTGGAAATGATGCATCTTGATCTTTGAGGGATTTTGAAAGAAGCTAGCGAGGAATTTTAGGGGTTGAGCGGAAAGTGATTAATTAGATGCAGAACTCCCCTGCCCCCTTCGCTTTCACGTGGTCGCTCCGACACTTAAGTTTTGTAGAAATGCAGAATTGTTTCGAACTACCTATATTTGAGTTAGTAAGTCGATTAAGACATCGGTAGGCGATAGAATTAGCTCATTGAAACATGGCCATCTCGCATTATCACACTCATATTGGTCAGTGCGACTTTGACTTTTGAGATATATAAATATTCATATACCCCAAATCTACTCTGCAATCAAGTTCTTACCATTGTTATGATGCAACTATCATCCGAGGTAGCGAGATTTAAATTGGTTCAAGAGAAGCTTGGTCCAGGTTTGCAGAGACAAAACAGACAATAGATTAAAGAGAGAGTATTTCCATGCTTTGACGGTCGTATTTTGCCAAGGGTTTGACTCAAGTGATATTCATTTAGACAAAAGAAAGAGCACCTATTGGCTCTAGGTACTTAGGTACTTCCCTAGTAAGCACACGAAAGTGGGTTACTGAACTTACGTACGTAAGTTCCTCCACCTTCCTATAATGAATAGTCACTCTTATCAATACCGTACACATATACATACAAGACTTCGGGCCGAGTTTGTATGTCAATTGTATAACTGCTAATAACATAACTGGTCGTAACAAGCTTTCCACACTGACTCTACATTGAGTTGCACCTCAACTTTTTAGCGCAGCTTCTCTTCTGTTAAAATCCAAGGAATTTTGTCAGTAATAATGTCCGACGAGATTCGGTTGGTTTTCGGAGCAGGTGGTATTGGCAAAGGTAAAATATCGCATACATGGACAACACTAGAGGAAGTGAACGAACTACTATCTAGTCTCTCTGATATTGGACTCAATCAACTTGACTCCGCGGCGTCGTACCCTCCTGGAGCCAAGTGGGTGACAGAGACACTGCTTGGTCAGAGTAAAGCTTCAGAAAAGGGGTTTACTATCGATACGAAGATTCTCGTGACGGGCGGGAATGGCGCGGGTCATCTGAGTGAGAAGAATATTGATGCTAGCGTTGAGAAGAGCCTGGAGTTGCTTGGTACGAATCAGGTATGCCTAGGGACAGTACCTAGTTAGCAGGGCCGAATCATTAAACAATCTCGTGGTTCAGGTTAATATCCTCTACTCACATGGGCCGGATCCTACAACGCCGCCCGAGGAGACAGCACGTGCTTATGACAAGCATTACCATGCTGGAAGATGCAAAGCAGTAAGTTATACCGAGTATTTTGAGTACGGTTAGCTAAGAGTGATAGATTGGACTTTGCAATCATAGCTTGGCACAACTGGAAGAGTTCATCAATGTGTGCGAGGAGAAGGGATACACGAAGCCGACTGTGTATCAGGGCGAGTATCATGTTCTGAACAGACAGATAGAAAAATTAATGCCTTTAATAAGAAAGGATAGCATGAAAGTTTATGCTTTCGGGTTTGTCTCCCCGTTATATCTTAATTTATTTGTGTGCATAAAGCTGATCAATTCGCTCCAATAGGCCTCTAGCTGGCGGTTTCCTGACAGGCAAAGTCTCCATTCCGGATCCCAAGACTGACCTGTCAAAAGGCCGCTGGGGCGAAGGAAATTTCCCTGCATATCCTAAGACTTATGACAAACCTGCGATTCATTCCGCTTTTAGAACATTTTATGAAGTCTGCCAAAATCACGGCATAACATCAACGGAGGCGTCACTGAGATGGTTAATCCATCATTCTGCACTGAAAGAAGGAGATGCACTCATACTTGGTGCAACAAGAGTAGACCAGCTAAAGAAGAATGTTGAAGTATGTCAGAATGGACCGTTGCCAGAGGCAGTTCTAGACGCTGCCGAAAAGATGTGGCAGGATGCTCAAGGAGCGTTTGATGAGGGTCTGTTTTAATGCTTGATGTGGATATATTATGTTACTTAATCACAAGAATTTTATCTATGTTCTGCTGCTTTCTTATTTCATCAAGTGTCTTGAGTGTATTGTACTAATACGATATTGTAAAGCAATAAGAAAATGGGGGGCGAAGAAGAAGAATGCAGGGTAGTATTGATTAATATCTCAATTCTAGTACTAGTTTCGAAAGACAACATACAGGAGTATCTGTCACAAAGTATCTGTTTTATGATAATTATGCTAGTTGTGATGCACTTGCACGCTTGTTCATACAGACAATGTTAATATCTTATACACAGCCAAAATGACAGCGTCTTCCGCTAATCTCAACTACGAGGAAACAAGCAGGAAAAAAAAGACATAAGCTCTTGGGTGACGATTACTTATGGATTATATTCTTGGGACATCTCAATGGACAGTCTCTTATTCAACATCTACAAAAAGAAACGAAGCAGGTAATAGAGAGAAAAAAGCCAAAAAAATTTGGAGATAGTGAACAGAGTGGGACTCGAACCCACGCCTAGGGAAATTAGTAATTGATTTCTTTTAAGAATGTGTAGGCTTCTCACCACTTTCGTGACCAGGAAACATGTTGTTAAGATAACCTTAACCTGGCGCCATAACCTGATTCATTGGTTAGTATGCAATTCAGTGAGCCATGTTTCTGTGGGAAACTAACCAACTCGGCCATCTGTCCTTTTGTCAATGAGCTGCTTAAACCAGCTAGTGAAACTTTTTGAAGATTTCGCACACAAATCGCGCATAGAATCAGCCCCTCTCTGGCCCCACTTCAATTTACATAGTGCATACGTCAACGCTGTGGCATGGTGAAATGATCGTGACCATACAGGTATTCTTATGATTATGGTTCCATTTGAGCTTATTTTATACTTTGACTGGAGATTAATAGGACCACTGACTTTCGATTGTATTTGACGTACGGTGAGCCCAGAAGATGAAATTTTTCTGAAATAGTTGACTGTCATACCTCGCGAGCCTCGGTAAGTTGCCAGCCTGAATTGCAAATAATACTGCTCTTTGGCTTCATAGTTCCAGATAAGATTATACCACTGCTGCATAGAGATGAGATTATAAGTTCGCATTGTACAGTTAAAATGATCAAATAAGAGGCAATTAGTTCAAATATTCGATTTCTAAGCAAGCAGTAATATTTACTTCTATATTCCAACAAGAGGAGACTTATCATCCAACTCTGGGAAGATGTCATAATTCTCAGCAGCTTGGGACATGCTCCATAAATCGAGCAACTTTCGACCTCACATTGAAGAGAAAGGAATATCAGTTTAATCGACCAATGGAATTTTCCTGTTCCACCACGTGTGGCCTAACTGCATACAAGAGTACGGGCGCGGTTACTTGCCTAGGCACTTGGCAAGACACAGGCTCGAGAGTAGTTAAGGTAGCACGGCAACCACCAACCTTCCTAGCGAGCACGCGAGCATATCAAACCCATCCAGAAACATCTCCCAAGAATACTGAGAGTCTTGGATTACCAGACCGAGATATACCTAGGTAGAGTATCTTTCTCATAGCCAATAAGTCCACCTTTCTAGTTTCTTGTCTGCCCACGCGGCCCGTAGTTTTCGTTATTTCCCCTCGTGCACGATGTTTCCTTAGGATACCTTATTGGTAAATGAACCCCTAGTGGAAGACATGTGCAAAACTCAAAAGCTTGAGTTCTTGACTGAATAAATCCTGGGGGGCGAAGTTTTGATGGGATAAATACTGCTGGGAGTACCTCGTTTCTCCCTGTGTCTATATCTCTCGTAACAGGATAACCGATCGTTTTGGCATCTTGATTCTTAGTTGATTTAATGCTGTTATTACCTATCAATCATCATCATGGCCCGTCTTTCTGAATATGATTATATATTCGCCTTTGGGCTGATATTTGCCTTTCTTGATGCTTGGAATATTGGTGCCAACGATGTCGCCAATTCGTTTGCAACGTCTGTTTCTTCAAGGTCTCTTACTATGAAGCAAGCCATGATACTAGCTTCAATCTGTGAATTTGCTGGTGCAGTTGGCGTAGGGTGAGTGGAAACCTATTTCCATTAATCGCCACTCACTTTATGTATGCATTGTGATTCATATTGACAGCTAAACAACTGTAGTGCTCGTGTTGCGGATACCATTCGTAGCAAGATTATCAGTCCTCAGCTTTTTGCGGAAGATCCGGCTGTGCTTATGTTGGGCATGACGACTGCTTTGGTAGCATCTTCCCTTTACTTGACATTTGCAACAAAGCTTGGGATGCCCGTATCTACTACGTGAGTCCTTGTTGTTAGAGCTCGTGTATCAATGTTGACATGGCAATTCAGTCACAGTATTACCGGTGGCGTGCTTGGAATGGCCATTGCTGCAGTTGGAAGCAATGGTGTGAACTGGGGCTGGACTGGCGTATCTCAAGTTTTTGCGGCTTGGGCTATAGCTCCCGGCTTGGCTGGATGTTTTGGTGCTATCATATTTCTTGTCACAAAATATGCTGTCATGAGGAGAAAGAACCCAGTCCGTGCAGCTTTCATCATGGTTCCAATTTACATTGCTATCACAACTGGCATTTTGACTAGTATGTCTTTCTGCCTTCAGGATGATTATCTTAATGAAGGGTGTTTTAGTTATTTATACTGACGGTGTATCCTAGTGCTTATCGTCTGGAAAGGTGCAGCTTCTGCATCATCAACTGTTGCGAAATGGGGTGCAGGAGAGTACGTTGGTGTCATTCTCGGAACAGCATTTGGCTGTGCTCTCGTTGCTATTATCTTCCTTCTTCCATATCTCTATCGTAAGTTGATCCTTGATGACTGGCAAATCAGATGGTGGCATATCCCACTGGGACCTCTCGTCCTTAGACGTGGAGAGGTGCCACCTAATGAGGAAGGAAGGGTAGTTGTACGAAACTATTACCATGGCCACAAGACAAGAGAAGAGCTTGAGGCTGAAGGCCATGATGATATACGTGTGCCAGCCGACGTTGAGACTCAGATGCAAGATGACAAAGAAGGTACTGCAGCTAAGACTTCTGAGACCAACTCATCGGGGGAGGCACCTACTTCTCCTCTACAAACGACATCTAAATATAGCGCATCAAACCTCTTTTATATCTCCAAGAGAGCTTTCTTCCATGGAGTGGATGTAGATGTGGTTGCAGAACAAAAGAAGAAATCTATCCTTACTGGCAACCTGGAAGAGATGCATGCCCGAGCTACTCACTACGACAACAAGGCTGAACACATGTATTCTTTTCTTCAAGTACTTACTGCTTGCACATCCTCCTTTGTCCACGGTGCCAATGATATTGCAAAGTGAGTGGTATCCTCTCCGTTTTTTGTTCACAGTGCAAAATTTGCTAATTGATTTAATCCCAGTGCATGTGGACCTTTGGCTTCTATCTACCTTATTTGGTCTACTGCAGAATTGTCGACAAAATCTCCTGTACCGATCTGGGTTCTGTATGTATATCATCACAAAGTATTGGGTGCATTTACTAACATATTCTAGTTGCTACTGCGCCGCCTCGCTCTGTATTGGACTATGGACGTACGGCTACAACATCATGCGGAACTTGGGTAACCGTCTGACGCTACACTCCCCATCTCGAGGTTTCTCCATGGAACTTGGCTCTGCAATCACTGTTACCATGGCCACTCGCCTGGCCCTCCCCGTTTCAACTACTCAGTGCATCACTGGTGCCACGGTTGGAGTTGGCCTTACTACAGGTGACTGGAGGGCTATTAATTGGCGCATGGTAGCCTGGATTTACGGCGGTTGGATTATCACTCTCCCTGTTACCGGCCTCATATCTGGTTGCTTGATGGGTATCATCATCAATGCTCCTAGGTTTGGTTTGGTAGAGTAAGATATGGATGATGAGGGGATTAAATGGAGAGAGGGCAAGGTAACATAATTGTATGACTGTCATTCGTTATCATAGTACCAATTTGTAATAGCGAGGCACAACTCAATAATCAATCTCAAAGTCTAATAACACTAACATCCAAAATCCCCTTCGCATCTCTCAACTCCGCCTCAATCTGACCCGTAATATCACCATCAACACCCAAGATCATCAACGCTTCATTATCCCCTTTATCCCCGTTAACCGAATATCTACCCCCATCTCCATCCCCATACCCATTTCTCCCCTTTTCCAAAGCCGCAACCGTCATGAACTTGATATTAACCCCATGCACCCCAAGAATACTCCCCACGCTTCCAATCTTTCCCGGCTCATCATAGTTCCGCAGCGCAAGCAGCGTCCCCTCCGGCACGAAACTAGTCGTGAACCGATCAAGACGACTGATATACACGGCCTTACCACTCACATAGCCGCTGATAATTTGCTCATCATCACCACCACTATGGCCATGCTCACTCTGTCCAGAACCCTCCGTGGTGGTAACGGGAGAAGCTTTCAACGACACCTGGTTCGCATACATCCTGTCATTAGACTCTCTATTATGCGTCTCATTCACCACAATGCCTTTTTCCTTTGCAATAAGCTCCGCGTTGACAATGTTCACATCTCGTCCTCTCCTCTCGCTAATCGCACCCGTCAACCCCTTAATCAGCGCAGCGAATAGGGGTCGGGTATTGGAAATAGACGCCAATTCTCCCTCATACACTAGATTGAATCTCCGGCCTCCAATCGTGCCACCGCGGGCACCTGTCCTGCTACCATAATGCTGTGTGAAGATACTCCCCATCTTCTCGATAAGCAAGACAAAGGGCTGGAGTTTCTTATATTCTTCGGGGAGAATAAGGGGTGCGTTGACGGCTGAGGTGGGGAGGCCGCCGGTTAGGACGGAGAGGACTTGTGCACATACGTCCTTAGAGACATTTTCTTGGGCTTCGACTGTTGAGGCGCCGAGATGAGGTGTTACTACGACCTTGGGGTGCCGGGTTAGTGCCTCAGCTGTTGAGCCTGGGGTTGGTGGTTCTTGTGTGAAGACGTCTAGGCCTGCACCTGCAATGGTGCCGGCATCAAGAGCGGCCAGGAGAGCTGATTCATTGATCACGCCTCCCCGGGCAACGTTTAGGATCTTAGCCGTGGGTTTCATCTGAGTGAGTTCTTTTTTGCTGATCAAATCCATTGTGCTGGCAATAAGTGGCGTATGAATCGTCAGGAAATCGGATACCTTGAGCAAAGATGGGAGGTCTGCTACTAAGTTGACTGAGTTCGTTCTTGCAATCTCTGGAGATGCATATGGATCAAGTGCAAGGACTTTCATGCCTAGTCCAATTGCCATTCTGGCAACTTTCAACCCAACCTTTCCCAGTCCTACGACCCCGAGAGTCTTTCCTCCAACTTCCGTTCCAACTAGTTTGGATCTCTCCCATCCTCCCGCCCGTAGCGATCTGTCACCCGCAGGGACATTTCTTGCTACGGACATAAGTAAGGCAATGGTATGCTCTGCAGCAGCAGCAATGTTCCCACTGGGAGAATTTACCACAATGATTCCGTGATTGGTAGCAGCATCTACGTCAATATTGTCTACTCCTACGCCAGCTCTGGCAACAACCTTCAGGTTTCTGGCTGCTGCGAGGATCCCAGCCGTAACTTTGGTCTCGGAACGGATGATGAGAGCATGATACTGAGGGATTGTCTCTTGTAACTGTTCTGCTGATATGTTCTTGGGTTGATGAATCTCAAACTTGTCACTTAGGAGAGCTAAT